TTAACCGCAGCAGCCTCTGTAGTCCTGCCATCGCCAAGCTCAGTGAACCCCTCTGCCCCGGCCTCGGCCACACCCTCTTCAACCGCAGCAGCCTCGGTCAATGCCCCACCGTTAGCCTCTGCCACACCATCGTCGCCGGCCTCAGTCAACCCATCGTTACCGGCGTTGCTTAGCCCATCAACACCCGCTTCCACCCCACCCTCCGCACCAGGGTCAGTCAACCCGTCTGCTTCAGCCTCCGTCCCACCTAACTCAGTCCCATTTTCATCACCGCCTTCGGTCAATCCATCGGTCCCAGCTTCCGTGGCTCCTTCAGTGCCAGCATCTGTCGCACCTTCGGTACCTGTCCCAGCTTCTGTCAATCCATCGGTCCCAGCCTCTGTGGCGTCATCGGTACCTGTGCCAAACTCTGTCCCTTCTTCTGTCCCGGCCAGTGAGCAAGCTTCGGTTGCAGTGTCGGTGGCAGCCTCGGTCAACCCACCAGTGCCCTCTGTTCCCGATTCGGCCTCGGTTCTCCCGATCGTCACAGCTTCAGCAGCACCGTCGATGGCCGCTTCGGCTGCTCTGGCATCCGCAATGAGCTCGAGCCCAATCCTGCGCATCATGTCCCAGCCTCCTGTTGCCCTTACCCAAGGTAACACGGTACCTGCCTCTATGCGATCGATTGGAAGGATGCCCTCATTGATGAAAGCAGTGCGATTCTCGGACCAGCCGCCAGCACATTCGTCTCGGAGGGATGCTTCATTTGCTTTCGTTCTGGAGCCGGAGGCCGCCGCAGAATGCCAGGGGCTCTGTGAAGTAACTTGCACGGTAAGACTGCAGCATACCTCACCTCGCCAGACTCCCGTCAAATGTCAAAGCGCCTCGTTCCAGTACTCAAAATTCCACAACGAATCTGGAGTGCATGTGGACTGGATACGTTGGGATTGATGAAAGATTATGAATGCATGGAGACCATTACCAACTGACATACTGCAAAGTGGAGCGAGGCGTTGAAGGCCAAGAGCATACTCACTCACAACAGGGCTTTTCTGAACGTCTCTGACTGCAATTACAGTCAGGTTCCGTCCAAAGAGTCCTGGTGTCATTGTGCCCTTGATCAGTTCTGCTTTTTCAATTGTTTATTTCTAATAGAAAAACAAACTTAGAATATCAGGGCATGCTGCAGGGGGAAGCCTGCCCTTCTGCTTCAGTGCTCCAATAGCTGTCAGGGTGGTGAACCTGCAGTTCACCTGTACTCAAGCGTGCAACCTCTCTGAGGACATGCTCACAATCTGTATTTTTTGCTGGACCGACCGACCAAGCCGAGAGTTCACACCTGTTCATACAATACTCGTCAGAAACAAAAAAAGAAAACACAGAAGTCAAGCGCGACGGGGCAGCTCACATATGTTTATTATAAAACTAGATAACAATATGTTCCTGATTCATGGAGATATTCCACATGAATTCATTCTGATATTGCCTCGCCGATGTCGGATCGGCAGACTCAGGGCATACTCACACTACGGCTTTTTCTTCTTAGTTCTGAACGTGATTGGGGTCAGATTCATAGTCAGATACATTTAGGAAAGTGCTACTGTGAGTATGCCCTCAATCGGACGACTACCTAAACTACTGTACTTCAATAACACATACAGGACGAACGAATGAAGGAAGAGGTTGTTTTCAGTTAATCTGCCACTTCATGTGTTTGGTACTTCACATTTTATTGGGATAAATCATAGATATACAATTCACGAAGCACTAGAAAGTCACTAGAAAGTCATCGGAAAGTCACTAGAAACTCACTAGAAAGTCATTAGAAAATCACTAGAAACTTAGTAGAAAGTCACTCGAAAGTCACTAGACAGACACTAGAAAGTCACAAAAAAGTCACCAGGAAGTCACTAGAAAGTCACTAAGTCACGAGAAAGTCACTGGTGAGTCACTAGAGAGTCACCAGAAGTCACTGGAGATTCACTAGAAAGTCACTGCTAACGTATCTATCAGCTATGTTGAACGATCTGCCTGTTCAGCTCTGCGATCCTAACCGCGATGTTCCTCGGCAATGTGCTTTTCGTTGCGTGCTGCAGCTCGACGAGACGCTTTCCGGACCTTGTCAGTCGGGTAAGGTCAGCTATGCCGATCTCTCTCCAGGGGCTCACAGCTTCGTCGTGGTCGTCACGAAACCACCTAATGCAGCGCATGCGGAGGAAGAGGAAATCGGTCGAGGGGAGTACGGTTGGACCATCGGTAAGACTGTGACAGAGGCAAATAACACACAGCTTTCGGCTCATCAGCCTGGCGGTGTCTTGCCTACCCTTCCCCTTCACTCTCAGTGTTGCTTTCTATGCTATGGAGATGCATCCCTCCCTGTGCTGTGCTCTCTGCTTCATCTTAAAGTGCATGGATGCACGGATGAGTGATGTACGGATGTATGATGCAAGGATAGAATCCATGGTTGGGTGATGAGAGTCGACTCCTTGGGGACATGTTGAAAGTGACTTCTTCTTTTTTTTTGTCTTTTTTTTTTTCCGCATCTTTAATACGTATCCCTGTAATGATGTGTAACCTGGGGCGTGGACCCACTAGCGAAGTATTCTACGACGTGTGACACAGTTTTATGGTTTTTTGGAAAATACAAAGTGATTTTTTATTTGCATGAATGGATCTTTTTCTGATTTAAAATGAATTGAAATAGGACATAAAACTATGAAGAACAGCTGTGCACCCGAATTCATGGGTTGGTACGATCTCCTTCACGTAAGTCTTCATAGTGATGTACCGTGGCAATAAAATGTGTCCACGAACACATTCACGAGGATGAACAAGTAACGGGTATTGGGATACATTCCTCGCGATGTATCTCATGATGCCTTTAGCAGGCCATCCGACAGACGCGGAAGCGTTCCTGTCAGATGCACCACAATATTCGAATTTCACATTTCAAGTTCTATTTCTCAGAGCCAAAAAAACAGAAAAACGAAGTCTGGAAATCAACCCCCCCCCTTTAGAGCCCATAAAATCCAGACTTCCCGCCCACGCAAAGCCACGAGCTATCATGTCCAAGTTAGTCCGACGCATCTCATTAGACGGGAGGTGGGCATCTTTACAGTCCCCGCTCGGAAAAACTACCAGGCCGTCGAGATCCGATCTATTCGACGGCCGTACTGAGTCACTCGATACCCCACGTGATCGAAATCCTGAACGGCGTGGTAGAATACCTTGCTAGTGGGTCCAGGCCCCTGCGGTCGGTGTACGATAACATGGCCCTTTTTCTCCCACTTGCCGGTAAGACGTCGATGCCACTCGATGCATGTGAACGGGGGGGCAGGATCGTGGTAATCTGTGTGATCAATTGGGTAATTAAAAGCGTCCTATTGGGGTGCGGAGGGGGTAAAAGGTTGTATTTGGAACAAGGATGTGGTTTTGTGTAGTTTTGCGTGTGGAATGCTACATCAAACAACCGGGGACGGTCATTTAGTGATTTCTTTTTTGGAACAACTTTTCATCAATTGGAGATATTCTTTTGTTCGATGGACCACGGATCAGATAATAAACCTATCAGAATAGATACTACACTCTCCCCCGGTCGATCATCAACGATAAACAAGGGCTGGAGGAAATCCACACGAGAGGCGAGGGAGAAAGGGGAAAAAATAATAATAAAAAAATAAAAATAAATAAAAGGGAAAAAAGTCCTTCGGGACATGGAGGAAATCCACACGAGAGGTGAGGGAGAAAGGGGAAAAAATAATAATAAAAAAATAAAAATAAATAAAAGGGAAAAAAGTCCTTCGGGACATCCGTTAAAATTGGAAGGATACAGAGAAGATTGCATGGGCACTGCGCAAGGAGGACACGCATAAATCGAGAAATGGTCCAAAAAGGGAAAAAGGGAAAAAGAAAACAAAAGAGGGCAAACAGGTGGATTACGCCCGTCTGAAAACCTACTGGGCTGTTTACCGCTGAAGCCTTCCACTTCCGTACTAAGCACCTTCGCGCGGTGCCAATGGGCCTACCCAAGTGCGGCGAGTGAATAAAGGTCACGCAAGCTTTTGGATCGCATGGCCAAGAAATCAGTCCTGGCGATCGGTTTTTTTTTTTTTTTTTTTTTTTGAGAAGAAATCAACTTTATTTCCAACTGACAAAATTCGAGGCCGGGGACCTCACAATTCAACCCGGAGTAGCGATCGGTTTTAGGGCCTCGCCACACCACTGTCGAAACGAAAAACGAACGAATGCATCTTCCCGCGTAGAACGGCAAGATGCATCCGTTACTACGAATAGCAATGGATGCATCTTACCACTTTCTGCGGCAGATGCATTCGTTCTCTTTTCGTTTTGACAGTGGTGTGGCGCGGCCCTTAATACCCAAAAGGAAGATTCAGACATTCGGGCATAAACGACTCTGGCCATTTTCCCCAAGAATAGAAACACGCCCAGCGGTGGGGACTTAGTACCCAAAAGGAAGACTCAGACTTCGGGCATAGACGAATCTGCCCGTTTTTCCCAAGAACAGAAACACGCGCAGGTAAGGCGGGCGGGTGTGTGTGTGTTGTCATATTCGCTATACACTCGAAAAAAGCATGACTGTGCCAGACTGTTTTGTCGGACTTTCACCGACTCATCAGGTGTGTTTGTTTCGTGTGTTCGTGTTTGTTTGTTTGTTTGTTTGTTTGTTTGTTGTCTGTTTTGTTTGTTTGTGCGTGTGTGTGTGTGGTGGTGGGGGGGGGGGGGAGGGGGCATGTGGATCCCTATTTGTAGATCGTGGTGGAAGCAGTGGAGGGTACCATCCTTTATCTCTCTGACGTTCGACTTTGTCTGTGGCATGCGTTTGCTGATGATTAAACAGATACCGTGATGCCAAAGGCCGTCTTGTGGCCAGGAGTGCCGTGGAAGACGGTAGAATTCAAGAGTCAGCTGCGGTCACTTCCTGTGTGGAATGTGTCCGGCAAACCGATCCCGTTCGTACTCTTCGCAACCGAGGTACTGCAGGGACTTACCGCTGGCGCCATCGTCGCCACACCCGACGCCGCGGTCTTGTCAGTGGAAAGGATTGACCCTCGAGATGCAGCAACACTACCCCATCTAGGAGTTGCTCAAGTAAACAACGAGCAGATGAAACAGATAGAAGCGGGAGAAGGATCAGGAACAAACCAGACAGACGCAGGAGCAGGAGGGGAAGCGGGAAGACATGTATCGATGCAGGGAGCAGGAGAAAGGACACACGGCCAAGCTAAAAAGATGACGGGCCACAAGAGGAGACTGCTCCAAATGCCAAATAATAACTTTTTTGCGAGCACAGCACTTGCTGCAAAAGATGCCTATGTCGTGCAGGTGAGTGAATGTTACAGAAGAAGGAAAGCTCAACATTTTTCATTTGGAATTATTTTGCTGTTCTTCTCCTTCGCTTTTTCCTTTCCTTGACTAGTGTTCCGAAAGCCCCTAAATCTGTGCACGCTAGGCTACGCGAGAACGGTGCCTTTCTGCCACGAATTCCTGTAAGAGTACCAGAAGGAAAAAAAAGAAGAAGAAAAAAAAGAGAAGCGCACATTGTTTAGATAGAAACGAAAAGCGATGTCACAACAGAAGAAGCCTGGAATGGAGAGCTGATCTGTTGAAGGTGCACACGCCATCTAAACTAACGAAAGCAATCGTTACGATTTGTTGCCCATTCTCAGCTCTGTCTTGCGCTCATGTGGACATTGCTTGTATGCTGCGGTATACCTTTGCAGGGATGCTCGGAAGTCAGGTAGGGAGGGGGAGAAGGAAGCTTATGCTCACACACACACACACACACACACGCACACGCACAGACACGCACACGCGCACACACAGACACACACACACACACACACGCACACACACACACACACACACA